AAAGAGGGGCTGGATCAACTCAACCACACAGGAAGAGGGTTGGAATGAGAGGAGAGAAAGACAGATAGTGAAAGAAGAGGGGATTTAAGACGGATAAGATAACGCAACACAACAAACAGAGGGTTTTGTGTAGTTATAGGCTTAAATATGTCTCTTACACACATGCACACACAAAAAAAAATATCAAAGAGTCCCAATTAAGCTGCACCACATTCAGACTAATTATTCTCCACATCATTAACATTCCCCATCACGAGCCGAGTACTTTATCTAAGAGAGAGCAGGCAATCATGAAATATTCATGATTTATTAATCTGACTACAGAAAAACAAACAATGGCAACCCGGGGAGTGTGACACCCTCTCCTGCCAAACACCGAGGTAAGCAACACGACTGTGTCTGCTACTCGCTCCGCTCTCCAACAGGAGGCCGCTATCAGGCGACGCCGCCGAGCTGACATTCAGGTGAATGTCGTTATTCCCACTCACAATTTTTGTTGTCTCGGTTTTTTAAAAAAATAAACAAACCTGTGTTTAACCGAGATAAGGTGGAAAGGAAATGTTGCTGGTTTTCTTCACTTGGCCCAGATCAGCTACTGTCTCTCACTCTGTGGCGCTGTGTCAACAATGTGTCAGACGCCACGTTGTTTTGAATTTAAAAAAAAAAAAAAGACGAAGAAGGAAAAAAAATATCCTATGGAAATGAAACTGTGGCAGGGAGACAAATCACATCGTTGCTTCAGTTCAGTGTTGCTCGAAGACAGAAGAGGGGGGAGAAAGAGAAAAATGAAGATAACCAGAGCAAAAGGAGAGAAGGGAAGAAGGGAAAGTAAAACAGAGACAACAAGGATGGGGAGGGGGATGCAAGAGGGCCAGAGGCCGGCCTCTCTCCCCATTTCTCCCTCTCAGCCTCTCGTGCTTCCAAGATAATTTTCTCAAGTGGGAAAAATTTCTGCTGATGACACAGTTGTGGAAATGAAAATGCCACAGTGCCTGGCTGATGTTACCGTCATTGACTCCTAATGGGAAAAATCCCACTACACGCGCAATTTTCTGGACTCTCCGTTTCTTTCATTCCGACATTGCTGCCATTATTATCACTCGATATCACACCCACTTGCTCATCTTCTTCTCCTTGCGCCGTTTCGAGCACAGGCATTTGCAAACACGGACTCGTTTTCCGTAGCTCCTCTTGACATTCTCGTTCTGTAAATCTTTCCCTCTACCTCTCCTCGTCACTGCCCTCCCTCTCTCGTCGGGGTTTTCAAGTCCCCCGGGTGACCTTGAGCGGCAGCTGCCAGTGAAGTAGCTAAAGTACAAAGTCAATACGAGTCAACAAAGCTGGTTAAGTATTAAATGGGGGGATGATGGCCGCTGCAGTTAGCCGGAGAAAGGCTTCAACGAAGAGGAAAAAATAAATAAAAAATAAAAAAAGGACATGCTCAGTCAGACTTTAATGGAACACTCAATGATAATAAGGATGTACTTTCAGCAATTCACTCCACTGACATTAGATGAGACTATACGTTTGGTTTCTGCAGGATAATCTGCTTGATAGTGAAACAGAGAGCAATTACAGTACTTACACGGTTGATTCACTGCTTGCCTACACACACACAAACTATGCATGCTAGAGACAAAAGAGACAAATGCAAAAGTATGAGGTGTGTTGAAATGATTCCTTGTTTTGTCACATAACACAACAGAAAAAGCTCACACCTGAAAAACCGTGGAGCATGACACATTTAAAAGAATCGGGAACTTTATTTTGCACTCCTCAAGTAACGAAGAACAAAAAAAATTATAATAATAATCCCCAATTTGACGTATTCCTCTACAAAGCAAAGCACTGCTGCAGAATTCCTCCCAACATCAACTTTTTTCAACTGCGGAGCCGTAATAGCCTTTCACTGTCCTCTCCCTGGATTATTGTCAGCAGCCCTGAAAACTCAGTGGATAATGTAGCAGTGAATGGCTCCTTTCATCAGCGCCTGGCCATGGAAGTGGACCAGAGTGACTCCAATTGAAAGCTATTGCGGCTAAGAAAATCAATTGAATAAATGTGTGGAGCGTGGTGCGTTTGTGTCTGCGTGTGATGAGTGTGGGTGGGTGGGAATCGGTTTTGGTACTTATATACCGGCTTCCACTCTGCCCTCCTGCTGCATACCTTTGTAGAGCAGCATTCCTCTAGAAGGCTGTGAGGTCAAAGGTCGGGGAAAAAGAAGAACATGAATTTGGATGCAACACCAACCATGGCGCCGTGTATGTATGCATGTAGGTATGTGGAACGGTGACCGATTTCCTTCAGGTGCAGGATCAACCACTGTCCGCACAAAATACCGCGTGCATTTAAGAACCATTTAAAACTAAGAATCGCATTCTTCGGTGCGATTAATGGATTTCAAATGTTGCTAAAACACAAAACATGTCAGATTAGTTTGCAAAGTGAAGCTATGACTGGTCATGTGCCAGTTTATTCTGACGCATCACATGTACGATCATTCACTTTCATTTTTTAAATACTGCCGAACTGCACTTGTCTGACTTTATAGGACTTGGTTGTTTACAACATCCTGTCACACGGAAAAGAGAAGCGAGTGATTGGCTAACTTACAACCGACACTATCCTGGCTTTGATTGCACTGATTGCCTCCATCTATTTAAAGTCTGTGTTCCATCATATGATTTATTCTTTGGGATCAAACTTTGAATTACTCTGTACATTAAAAGCATCCGGGTACATGCGCTGTGCAGACACTCTGCTTTGGCAGCGGTCTTGCTTCAGCTGCTAACAGCTGCTGTGACACGTGTGTGCATTCCTAAGTTCCTGCACTGCAGCGTCCCCGCATGGCATCGCCTGTCCGCCCTCAGCCTCTGGAAATGAAGCACTGGCAAACACCAGAAGGCCAGCTGCATATAGATCCATTTACCTTGGAGAGCTACGTCAGGGTTTTTGGCACCCAAAGGGCTTTAAATTTGATTAAGAGGGAGGCATCAGTTTGATTAAATTTAAACAGGTTGCTAAATCACAACAAGAGCAAAATTTATGCGTTGCGCCGTTTGTGCCAAATACCAGAGAAAACTAGAAACCTGAGAACTTGGGGAAAAAACAAAACAAAAACAAAGAAGACTAAAGCCACAGAGAGATGTACAGATTGACAGCCCAAATCTAGCTGCACTGTAAATGTGCTGTGTAAAAATGTGATTGGATTTATTGAGTTTTAGTGGGAACAAAAATCAAATACAGCATTGCAGCTGGAAATGAAATGACTGAGATGTAGCAGTATTGATCAAAATTAACTCGACTGTGAAACGCGCTATGGCAGAAAGAATGGGCAGTGAAGACTCAGGTTTCCCTGAACCACTGCCATCAAGCTGGATCAATCATCCGATTACGGTGCTGAGATCTTCCAGAGGCAAAGCCGCCTTTGCGAGAATGAGGCCTGATCCTTTAGCAAACAGAGCCACGAGAGGAGCAGAGGTAGGCTGTCCAGAGCCGACTGGAATGTCAGATAATGGATGGCATATCTCTCCAGGTGACACCGAGCCCAAGGCATCCAGGGAGATGGAGAAGAGGGGAATGTTGGAAGGAGAAGGAAAAAGGGGATGATGAATGGATGGACAAGTGCATGCTTGTGAAGTTTTGTTAGAGCTTTTTTTTTCGCATTACCAAAACGTCTGGTAAGAGGTTTCTGAGTTCATACACACTGGTTCCTGAGTTCACTTCAAGTTCAAGGAAAGTCACTTTGTCTCTCAACCAAGCAAGTGCCATCTTTCCCAGCAGCTCCTTTTTCTCCATCTTTCTGATTAACAGAAAGCGAATACGTCTGTGTTAACTTCCCATATGCTGCCCATCTGTCCTTTCCCTTAACCCTGACACCAGGTACGCACACACACACACAAACACTCACTGGAAGCAATGCTGACAAGTGCTGTTACCACACGCCTGGAGTTTACTCTGGATTCTTTGCAAACGCTAGAATCCACAGGTTGATAAATGCAAATCAAGCAGATGCCACTCACACACAAGTGAACCTGAGCAGTCGAGTTCACCGCTTAATCCAAATATGTGAACCTGAGAAAACATTGCCCCCTATATTACAACATACCAAACACTCGAGCTGCTGATCCCAAGGGGGAATCATTAATTACCACTTCGACAAAACCTGATACCTCCAGAATTAGAGGTAATCAACTGTCCCCAGGGGCTGAATGGAAACCACGCCACTAACTCCCAGAAATGAAAGTGTAATTAACCCATTTTGACTGATTTATTCACACTCGCGTTCAA